TGGTTCATCCATATCAAAGATTCAAGTAGTTATCAACACTCTTGCTGAGGTGTTTAAGCTCAAAGACATGGGTCGACTTACCTATTTCTTAGGTCTTCATATTCAGTATCACCTAGATGGTTCTCTATTCATTAGTCAATCCAAATATGTTAAAGAATTGTTGATTAAAGCTGGAATGGAATAGTGTAAGCCTACTTCCACACCATATAACCACATACCTAACTTCTTGTTGCAATATTTACCATTTTGTTAGAGAGAAAGTTCAAAAAAGAGATCTTCAAGTTCAATATATTCCCACAGATGATCAGGTTGCTGATGTGTTTACTAAGGGGTTACATGGTCCAGTGTTTGTCAAGCATTGTCATGCTCTTGATTTGGGGTCTAGTGCTCAGTTTTCATCATTGTTAGTTACCAGTCATTCTTCAACTATTGGTCTAACCTTATGAAGTTTCCAAGCCACATTGTCTCATGATTTCTCGATGCATAACATCAAACTCAGCAGGGATATTTTCAGCCTCATTTGAGGGAGGGGGTAATAGCTATATACATACACTTGTCAAGTTTGTATTGGTCTAGTTAGTTAGAGGTGGTTAAGGGTAGTTATGTAATAGTCATTGTATAATTACTATATAAACCCCTTTATACAACTCATCCTTTTTGCACTTCTCTCTCTAAAGAGGGTGTAGTCAAATTAGGATTTGATGGAATTTTAATAGATTTTAAAATCAAAGTGTAGCCAATTATGATTTGAAATAAGATTTTAAAGGAGTTTGGAATCATGGTGTAGTCAAATTAGGATTTAAGAGGATTTTAAAGAATACAACCAAATCCATGAATAGTCAATTACGTTCCTAAAAAAGTCCATCAAATCTAAGTACAGTGAGAACATCAAAGATTTGCTAGGATTTTAATGAATGGAGGATTTTAATGGATTTGAGAGTGGGTTGTATAAATAACAATGCCATCAAGAATCCAACCCTCCCCCCTCAGATTTCTTTTCACAGTCATCAGACTTCCTCTCTTAGTTAGAAGAAGAACAGTCTTCCTCAATCGGTATTGTTTTTCTCTTCTGTGTAGTTGTACTCCGTCTGCAAACCTAGTGCTAAAACCTCCGAGATTGATAAACCCAAGCTTTGAGGAAAACCATATTTGTTGTTTGACAGTGCCTTCACCCATTGTATGCCCCAATTTCTCGATTATTATAATTCCCCGCACCCCACCCCGTATTCATTTTTCACAAAAGAGCAAAGAAATTATATATAAATTTCTAATATTTCACAATTCGTTTATGAACAATTCATATATAAAATTTTGGTTCTTTGAGTCAGCATTTATATTGTGGGTTTTGCTTGGTTTATGGTGAAGTACTTGGCAAAACCCAATTGCCACAAGCTGGATTTATTGACAAAAATTCAGGTTTAGGAACATAGATCTTTGCATGTTTAAGGAAATGTAAGAAAGCAGGAAGCTTTTCTTCAAAAACCCATTTGTTAATTTGGTGGCTTTTCCAATAACTAACCGGTTGAATTTGCAGTTTTGCTTGGCTGCTAAGCTGAATTTGGCTCTTTTGGAAATTACCCATTTTCCTGTTACAGAATTGGATTCTTATTTCTTTCGTTTCGATTTGAACAGCTAATAGATAATTTTGATTTGGTACTGTGGTTTCGTAATTTTGATTTGTATAGAGCAACGAATTATGGTGAAATAGGACAAATTAACCCCAAATAATGGATTACTTGAACCCCAAATAAAGAAAAAGACTATGCAAATGTATGCAAATTGCTCCATGTTCATGTAGCAAAATGTATAGAGACCTGTACAATAGGACGCGTTTTAGAAAACTAGTCTCCAACTATCATCTGAAAGCCACGATTATTACTATGGACATATGGAGAGACAAACAAGGTGACTGCAACAACAGTTGGCAAGAGTTTCAGGTACAAACATTGTAGGTTAATTTTTGGGGCATTTTGATATAGATGCCTCAAATTTGAAATTTTTTTAATCAAACATCTATAACTTTTAAATTTTTTATCAAACATTCTTCTACTAATTTTAATTAAAAATTATGATTTTTATTGTATTTAATTAACCAACTAATTCAGAAAAGAATATCACAAATATTCTAAAATCACTACAAACATCCTATCTTATCTTGTCATAATTCGTTCAAAATGAATTTTTCTTATTCAAATAATTTGTTGTTTTAAATTCTAAAAACACATAAACATCCTTTTAACATACAATTATGAAATATAACATGCACATATATTAAATATAACGTACCAAATAGATATATTAAATATAACGTACCAATCATTTGGTACGTTATTGGTATGTTATATAAATTTAATCTGGGTACGTATTAGTATTTTGGTACGTTATGCAATTCTTTATTTAGTATGTAATAAGTTATTAGTACGTTGTATTATCCTTATTTTGGTACGTACAAAACTTATGGTACGTTATGTGTAAGTTGTGTAACCCAAAAAAAGAAGATAACTTTTCACATTAAAACATTGCACTAAAAAATATTTTGTCAACTCTTAATAATTAATTATTGGAATAAGGACTCACTTTAAATAAAAATGTGAAAACTCTTAGTTCACGTTTCTACTATAAGTAGTGGTTAAAAAATTCAAATTTATTTTCAGTTGCATGAAATTAGGCAGTCTAGTTTACATCTCAATTTTAATTATAAACGAACACTTGTTTTTTTTATAATCTATATAAAATGTTGGGTTGGAAATTGGAAAAACTATATTTCATCCAATTAATCTTAAACCCCAGTAGATATAATTGAATCCTTAAATTGAGGACATTATGAGATTCCATAAAAATAGCAATAAATTAATGAATATTATTGAGTGCAATTTTTTTTACATAGAAATGGATTTAAAAGAATTTATAAAATACTTAAATTAAGAATATAACTGGAATATACAGTTTAATTAAAAGTAAAAACATTTTAATCAAAAGTTAAAAAGTAACATATGTTTAATTTAGAAAAATCTAAAATAAGGTATTTAATTCTAATTTATTCTTAATTTTTTGAAATCCTAAGAAATCATAAAAAATCCATAAAAAAAGTCCATACAAATCCATACAAATCTATAATGAAAATCCGCACAAATCTGTCAAAATCCATATAGAATTATAAAATCTGTTAAAATCCTTTGAAATTTGTTACTTAAAAAAAAATCTTTTAAAACCCTATGAAATCGTACACCCCTAAGTTTCCTGCTCTCTCTTGTTCTTCACCGACTCAACCTTTAGAGTTATCACGGTTCACCCCTCTTCCCTCTTTTGTTTTCAAATCTGATTGCAGCCCCAATTTGTTCTTCAATAGGCTCCCTTCCCGCAGGTATCCTTTATCTTATGATATCTTAGTTCTTTAAATTTCTATTTCTGATTTAATTACGGTTTTCTGATTTTTTTTTGTCGTTGTTAATTTGGGTTCTTAATTTATGAATTGTGCGCTGAGAGTTTATTAGGGATTAATTAGTTGATGTGGGATTAATTACGGTTAATAATGCTAACATGTTGTGTTCCTGTATCAAACTAATCCTTCTGGACTTTGCCAGTTAATTAAGGTTGGTTTTTTTAGCTGAATTGAGTTAGGTTCGAAAAAAACCATGCTTTCCGAATTCCCATTTTCTTTGTTAGAAACCATTTTTAGTAGGAAATTCTTATGACTAAACCACTGGAATAGAGTTAAATTTCATTTAGTGCATAAAATTTCCTTTCACGTACTGTCAGCTTTTGCCGTCTCCCGTCCCATTATTTTTGTAATTCGTTAGAGTTTTCAGTACATTTTTGGAAGCTTCTGAAGTGCTGAGTTTTGATTTTCAGATTGATTACGCACCCATTGTTGGAAGCTTGCGGGGCTTGAACCTGAAAGAATGGTGAGTTATTTATTTGTTTGTTTTTTTTTTTTGTAGTCATAGCTAATGTTAATGGTTTCTCAGTTGCACTAAAATCTACTTGGTAGTTTAATGAATGAACAATTTGTGAAATTGTCCTATCATTGTGTGTGGAGGAAGCTACATAATTTGACACATTTATGATGTAATTGCAGGCGACACTTGCGGATTCATTTCTTGCTGACCTTGATGAACTATCAGACAATGAGGCCGATATTCTTGTGAGTAAATTCTGTCTTTCATATGAGAAAATAATGACCATAGAGGCTAGTCAGTGAGATGTTCAAAATTCATATCTATCTCAACCTACACTAGTCATCACATAATTTGTTTCTTTTTTTTTTCTCAGGTTAAAGATGATGCTGATGCTGGAAATATGGAAGAAGATGTTGATGGGGACTTGGCTGATTTAGAAACATTTAATTACGATGATCTGGACAGTGTTTCAAAATTGCAGAAATCACAAAGATGTATATAATACAGGTTTGTTATATATGAATGCGTTATTTTCTTCATGCGTTATTGGTATTGAAATCTTTATGTTATTTGTGTACAAGCTTTATTGCTTAATTGTTTATCTTTATCCATAGCTTCTTATTTCTTATCATTTTCTTTGATGCGTGGTGGGAGTAACTTAATGGGCTTAGTATTTTAAATTTTTCATCATGCTGATACATGTGCTTTGTATATCTCATTTACTTAAGTTTCAACATAGTTTTGTCCTTTTTAGTCTTTAGGTTGTCGTTCGGTACTCTTCTGTGTTTCCCCACCCCTTTTTTTCTATTTTTTATCCTGGCATATTGGCATGTAATGGGAATTCAGTGTTTCAATTGCAGAAAGTGGAAGGTGCACTGGAGAAGGGTTCTGCTATGTCAAATCATGGAATTGTTTTGGAAGATGATCCGGAATACCAGCTGATTGTGGACTGTAATGCTTTGTCTGTTGACATTGAGAATGAAATTGTAATCATCCATAATTTTATTCGGGACAAGCATCGCCCAAAATTTCCAGAGCTGGAATCACTTTTGCATCGTCCAATTGATTATGCAGGAGCCTCCTCCTGTGAAGCAACCTAAACCACTAGTTCCTGATTCTGAACCTAAAAAGAAGAGAGGTGGTCGTTGACTAAGAAAGATGAAGGAAAGGTAGTATATTGTTTGTGTTGTCTTATACTTTATTTCAGTTATTGTTGATTCACAAACTGATATTTACTTCTACAGGTATGCGATAACGGACATGAGGAAACTGGCAAACAGGATGCAATTTGGTATACCAGAAGAGAGTTCCTTGGGTAATTTTCTAGGGCCCCCTCGCGCAGCTCTTCTGAATTTCAAATAGTCTTCAAGATCCTTTGTTGTCAATTATCTAACAAATCACTTAATGAAAGTAGATTATCTTTCCATGGAGGACTCCCAGTAGAGAAAGCCTTAGATTGGTACATTCAAATCTCAATGGCCAAAAAAGGAGGGGAAGGAGACCATCTCACCTACAGTATCATTTACATTCTTACACATCTTACAGTATGAGGAGCTCAATTGTTCATTAAGATGGTTCCGATGTGAGCCCCGTTTCCGTTTACATGAAAGACTATATCTTGATTCTCATTTTGTTGTCTTCCTTGATATTTAATAGGGGATGGACTGGTTGAGGGTTATGGAATGCTTGGTCAGGCTGGGAGCGGCAAGCTGCGTGTATCAATGCGTCAGAGCAAACATGCCGCAAAAGTCGCTAAGAAGTAAGCTTTTCCCTGTTTCCTTTAGTTATGGTTTTTCTTTTTCTTTCCAAGTGAACCACTGTCAATCTTAATGCAGAGTGTCATTTATGCAAAAATTCTACATTGCTCATTTCTGGCCGTTATATCTCGGTCGTTGGATCCTTGACTTGACCAAGGATATAACAGCCAAAAACCCTGGTGTATAGACTACTTCGGACCATACTACGAAATCCTGTCATTTATAATTGAGTTGTGCTGAATTATACCATTGATCGATCAAAGTGTGAGATAGACCCTCATTGATATCATGAGCTGCCTATTCTTATCAGGTTCAAGGAAAAGCTTTACGGAGGCTGTGGTGCTACATCTGGACTAACTTCAAGTTTAGCGTGTACGCCTGTGCAGGTTGTCGTCACTTCTTACCTTGCACTTGAGTTCTCTCTCTTATTTACAAATACATTGGTTTCCAAGCTTAAGTGCCATAGAAAGTTTTTCGGAATTCATAGTCTTAACAATCATCATTTTTATGCAGGGGATCGAGCTCTCGAATCCACAGGCTCATGCACACCAGCTTGGCGGTGGAGCCCATACAAAGGAAGTTTTCATGTATCCGGGAGAATTCGCTGGTTGCCGATACCGTGAACGCTGTAGCCAAAATGTGTAAATGATTTTACTAGATGAAGTCGTGTTTGCTCGTTGTGATATAGTAGTTACTGACCTTCGGTGGATGGTAAAAGGTGGAGGATGTTACTTCAGAGATCAAAATATTTTGTTTTTCAGAAGACGTACTAATTCAAGCTGTGATAGATGCTTTCGGGAATAAATCACCTGTACTTTCTTGCCCTTGCCCTGCCTATTTTTTGTGCATTACAAAGTTCTTGGATTAATTGGTAACGTTTCTCTCAGAACTCAGAAAAATGTTTATTCATATTTTAGTCTGCAATAACCAATCAAAATTAGGTTTCTGTGGATTTTATAAATTTTTGTAGTAGTATTATTAGCCTATTAGGTTACTACATCGTGAAGGTCTAAATCCTTTAGCCATCGAGAATTTGTTAAGTTGGTAAGGATCATTCATTTTTCTAGGAAAAACTTACATATGTCAATTCTACCAAACAACTTACATAGCACCGTGCATCCTGTGCCATCACTAACACGAAATGCCACTGTAGCAGTGTACCTGTATCATATAAGTCTCCCAATTCCAGGCGCACCATACAATTTTCATATTGGGATCACAATGCCATTCTAACTAATCATCCCGTAATACTGTACTGGAAAGCTTTCAACTCATGAGCAGATTTGAATTTGAGGCTACCTTCAACTTCCGGGAAAACCTTGGCACAATACCAACTACTAAGGTAATGTAATTTATGAAAAATAATTTTTGTTTATCATTTTTCTTCTTTACATAATCTTGACTTGTGGAAACATCGGTGTGTTTGGAGAGAGGAGTGTAAATCACTTTCCTCGTATATGGGCGGCACACGTTATTCTTAGGACCAATAGTATGTTGTATCAAAAGTTGGCATTCTTTTCTTCCAAGCTCAAATCCAAGTATTCTTGAATTTTAGAGGACTAAACCAAACTTATTACGATTGCCAGTTAATCGTGTTCTGGGACATGTTACATTTTCAAAGAACCTGGAAAAAAAGGGATCAAAGGAAAATCTTCAATCACTCACATAAGAACTTGAAATAACGACGAAATTAAGTGATACAACAACAGCAGTAATAAGCCTTATCACACTAAGTGTGGTCGGTTGTATGAATTCTAGAATGTCACTACGCTTGGTTTTGTGTCAAGTCTTCCGTTATCTCCAAGTACTCTGTGTCTTTTCTTAAAGTCTCAAGTCTTCCTAGGTCTTCCTCTACCCTTTTTACCCTGAATCTTACCCTCATAATCACATTTTCTAACCGAAACATCCGTAGGTCTTAGGTTCACATGTCCAAATCACCTTAATCAATTTGTTCTCATCTTATCTTTAATTGCGGCAACTCCTAATTTACCCTGAATATCTTCGTTCTTAATTTTGTCCTTTCTTGTGTGCCCACACATTCAACAAAGCAATCTCTACTCGATTACACTCATCTCCATGCTATAAAGCATTCTCATCTCCACATACCTCACATTCCATGCCATAAAGCATTGATGGTCTTGTTGTCGTCCTATAAATTTTTCTCTTGAGCTTCTGTGGCATGTGACGATCGCACAACACACCTGATACACTATTCCAATTCTTCCATCCAACTTATATTTTATGGTTGAGGTCTCCATCCAATTCTCCAAATCTTTTGGAAGATAAACCCTAGATACCGAAAGCCTTCACTCTTTGGTACCTCCTAATCTCAAATCATCACCTCTATCTCTCTCAGGCAAAGACCTTTAGATTCCAACACTTCCAGCCAAAGGTTAAGCTTCACATTTATTCCCTCATGTGCTTCATTTATATCAACACTATATTATCTACGAAAAACATACACCAAAAGATATCAACCTAAATATGTCTGATTAACTCATTCATTACCAATGCAAAATAGTAAAACTTAAACCCTAGCCTTGGTATAAACCTATGATTCATGCAATTTTGTATTTCACTCTTATTCTTGTAGCTAGACACCAAAGTGCCTTTTAGCCGCTCATTTAGCATCTTCTCCGTTTTCAAAATCTTCTTGAAAAGGTTTGTGAGCCATGTCAATATCAACATATTTGAAAAAGTGTGATAATAGAAAAAACTTATGTGATTAGCAATCTGTTTAAGAGGGGTTTACCGGCGGTGCTTAAGACTGAAACATTCTACAAAGCCGTCACCGTTTCTTCTGCGTGCAAGTGGACCATATGCTTTCCATTTACAGTAATACAACCACCAGGGCAAGCCAGTGAAAGAATATTAATACATAAGATACACAGATGATATAAGAGAGAGCCTATATTCGTTTCCACCCGCTCCACCCCTGAGGAAGTTTCCACTTTCTATGCCAATATATCGACACTCTTGACCATAATGGGAAACCAAAATTGTAATCGAGCGGCCGATCAGCTGGCCCTCCTACTATCAACGGCAACCATACATATCTTGAGTCTCTCAAGTCCGTTGGGTTCCATCTATCTGCCATGAAGATAAATGAACCTGTAAATCCCGGCACAGGAAGCACAAATGTGCTCTGTGCAAAAAATGTAGCAAGTTGAGACACTTTGTTCCCTCCAGCACAGGGGTTTCCCATCAACTCCCATGGCCCCATGACTGACTCTGCTGCATGCGCCAGTGCCTCATTAGGAGCCCATCCAGTGCAGCCTGAAGTGATCATGTAATAAGTTCCCTCATGCTTGAACAGAGCGGGGGCTTCCCGATGTTGTCCCACAAGAATTCTTCTCACAGTGTTCGTCACGTCAAGGTAATCTTCAGTCAGTGGTCCAATATGAAGTTCACTATTGTCATTGGATGAGTATATTAGATAAGCAATACCATCATCATCTTTGAAGATTGTCATGTCCCTACTATCAAATCCATGGGGTCGTTTGCTGTAGAGATAATCAAAAGGACCAGTTGGGTAATCACTAATGGCAACGCCAACGGAAGCTTTAGTATAGTTAACATCATCAATGTGCATCCACATAACGTACTTCCCTGTATGGTCATTGTAAATCACTTTCGGCCTCTCAAGAACATTGGATTCGTGGAGATCATGTGTTTCATTTGCTTTTTCTGCTGCCAATACAAGACCTTCATTTTTCCATTTCCACAAGTCATTGGAAGAATAGCAACCCACTCCTATGATGTCAACCTAAATGAAAGACAAGATATAACTTCAATGCTTGAATGAAAAAAAAAATTCCGTCTGAAAAGAAAAACAGATGAATCAAAATGGACTCTTAAGTGCAGCAATGGTGAAAAAGTATGCATCTAATTACGATGCTACATAACTAAGTCTAGAATAGCAACACAAGGCTTACAGGAAACCTAACCACACTTACTAAAAAAATGCTCCATACCCCTCACTAAAATAAGTGAACCGTCTATTTCATAAACAAATTTTCAACACGCAACTATTTTCAGCCCCCAAAATCCATATTGAACAACTAAAACTATTCTAGTTTTTAACAAATACCAGATGTCATTTTTAGTGGACGCAAGGTTAACTAATACGGAAAAGTTCCATGCTTTCTAACTTGACACTGATGGAGTTTTCATATCCCACTTCTGGTAAGATAGTTGCCATTGCTCTTTAACCTGAATAGCAGCTATAATTCCATAATCTAGAGTTGATATTAACTAATATGGAGGCAACACTCTAAATTGGATTCATTTCAGTCAGCAGTGTAGAAATAAACTTGGTTTTCAAGGGTAAGTATTCACGGATAAATCACGTAAGCAAAATGATCTAAGAGTTAATGTGTGGAAAATAGCAATTTCATCACTAACAGAAACAAGGACTGACATTTTAAAGCAAAACCATAGTTGGAGCTTAGGACTATTCAGAGGAAGGTAAATCACTTACCCGAGCTGCTCCTCTTTTGTGAGCATGGTATGTGGGCCCATCTTTATACTCCCCATACCAATAGTACGTCCTTGATTTTTCGTTGAATAGAATACCACCTCCATGGGCTTGAATAGGATTTCCATCAGTATCCAACCAAATCCTCCCAGGGTAAAAGTAATAGCTATCATTTCCCGTGTCCTTCATTGGATCAATGGCAAGCTTATGGGGAAAGAATACGTGTCTAATTTGAGAATTCTCATCAAGAAATTCATCAATCAGAGTAGTTGGTCGCCTTGGTTTTCTTTTTGCAGCACGTGGGGATCGCTTTCTCGGTGGAGGAATTTGAATATTTTCCTCTTCCACCTGTTCAAGTTCATGGAACTGCGGGTGGTGACTCGCTTGAAATTGAATTTCTCCTCCCAACCTATCCTTTTGCCGAACAAGAGTGTACAGTTGAAACATAAGAAAACATCCCACCAAGCTCCACACCACAGCAGACGTTGAACATCTACTCCCTGCATTGCAACGGAAAGCGGTTGGTTTCCTGTATTTGTTCCTCATCCTCATTTTCACTTCCTTTTTATTCTCTCCAAGACAATGCTGCAATTAACAAAATGAAACCTATGGATATCCGGCCAAATACAAGTCACAGGCTCACAACCACGCTAGCCTATAATGTACGGAAGTGGTCAATCCGCTTGAAAATTTACGAAAGAAAAAAATTCAGCACAATTAGGACCGTAAGAACCTCAAATGATTTAGAATTACAATTATTTTCATTGTGATATGCTGTCATTAACTTTAGAAAAATCCACTGTCAACGAGCTGAACGTGCATAACTCGATGCTACTCACCCGCCCTTGTCCAGGAAATCGTAAAACTACAACTAGTATTCATATTGATAAAAGACAATAAAATTGGATTTACCAAATGGCAAAGTTAAGTTTACTGCAATACTATTCATTACAATACTAACAGAGCTAATTGCAAATTACACAACCAAGAATTGACGACTGAAACCATTGACTTAAACCCATTTCAGAAATAGATTGATTCAACCTAAACAACTCAAAACCCACTTGAAAAATTCACCTAAAAACCCCACCAAGCACCACAGTTTAAGAATCCAGACATGGGTTTGCTAACAAAGCAATAAAAATCTAAACTTTCACCACCCCACAAGCATAAAAGTGACAAAAATGAAAGAAATAACTTACCTGAAAACATCTGAAGCATGAGTTGTTCTAACAATATTTGAATAAAGTGGGAAGCAAAATCCAGAGACAGCAGAGAACAAAATTATGGGTCTTCTTTGTCTGATGAAATTGGATCTGAGGTAGATGTTGACGACGCTGACCTGGGACCAAATAAGGTCTTTGTTGTTTGAGAAAGTGGGAGAGATATACCTAGAAGGTTTTCAAAGCAAAATTTTTCTTCCTGGATTCTGAATGAAGTATCTACCAACCGATGTTTTCTGATAGTTGATTAATTGGGCCATTAAATCTCGCCTTTACTTTTTCACCGAAAACACGACAGGTGTCGTGAGACCGAGTTCACGCGTGGAACTTCATACTATTCAAGGTAGATATGGCAAGTCCATATGCGAACTGTTAATTCAACACAAACGATACGAAGTAGCGAGTTTTTTGTTATCACAGTACTTAATTGGGTCGTTATCAGACAACACATTAAGTTAATCAGGTTCTTAATAGGTTTACTAAGGGCTGGAAAAAAATCCTAAAAATTCCAAACCAAATTGAAAAAATTCCGATCCCAAACCAAAATTCCCGAAATTTTCGGTATGGGATTCAGTTTTGCATCTCTATTTTTTCGGTATTTCCATACCGAACCAAAAATAAATATTATATATACATATATATATATATATATTACTTTTTAATTATAAGAGAATTATTTCAAACCGTTCATTGTTTTGGATTTAATCTACGCCGTTCATTTGTTTTTAGCTCGGATCTCCCATTTCACTTCCATTCCATTGATTCCAATTTCCATCGAACTTGAATCAAACTTGAAGCGCAGCCACCGCCAGCCTTACTTCACCACACAGCCTTCCTTCACGCCAGCCTTCCTTCGAATCGTCTCTAACTCTCCAGCCTTCCTTCACGAATAACCACCCAGCCACCACTCTCTCTCTCGCAATCTCTTTCTCATGCGATTTTCTCTCACAGACAGAACTCTCGATCCAGCATCAAATCCGAGTCTCACTCTCACCCCAAATTAGGTGACTAATTTAGTGTTTTGAAATCTAATTTCTGTCACTCATCCAAAATTTAGTGCCCAATTGACTAGTAGCGATAGTTGAAGGGCTCGAGGCTGGTTATGGACCTGTTGAGGGCCTAATTTATTCATGTCGTTGGCAATTTTTTTTTTTTTTTTGTGTGTTAATACTTGTGCATCGGTGCTTGCTGTTTATTTATGTTTTGTTGGTTGAAAGTTTATTTTGATCTGATTTTTTTCAGAATCAACTTTGCATTTGGTTCTGAGGCTTCGTGGTGGGATTATTGTGACGTCTCTCATGGCATTGGCTAGGAAGTACAACCAGGAAAAGATGATCTGCCGCAAGTAAGCTCCCACTTTACCGTTATATTCCTAATTTTTAAACACATTGTGCTACTTTGACTTTGTTGGATGCTAGCATCTTCACGTTTGATCTCATATAACTCTTTCAAGACAAAATCTATGTGTTCTTTTATATCAAAGGTTTTGGATTTAGAAAAGAGAATGTGGATGAGTACTTTGCCAAATCCCAATGTCATATTGGATTTAGAAAGCCATCAAACTCTTTATGCGGTTCTAATATGCAATTTGTTTCCATGGTGTTGTAACTAAAAGGTTCAAATACTGCCAAAGTATGATTTTTTATTATCGAAGTGATCAAGATTTAAGTTGGTCTGTGTGTCAATTAGGTACTTTCCACTGGACTAGGCAGGATTGTGCCAAATTGATATCAAGGAAGCATACGAATAGTGCAACTACAAGTAAAGCTACCAATTCTTTTTGTTACTTGACCACTAAGAAATTTTATGACAATCGGATTTCCATATTTTTGTTTTGGCTATAGAATCTTAGATACATGGTCTTGCTTTAATGTTTGATAGCAAATCAAGTTTTGTAATTCTGTTTTTGTTTCTCATACCATATGACTCTTTAATTGTAAACTACTGGATGGCTACATATGTATACATGTGAAATGTATACTTTCACACAATAGAAATTGAATAGGCAGATGCTATTATGCACAAATTGGCAGATTGGCAGCTTGGCTATATGTCAAATTTTCAGTATAAAAGGATATGGAAATGTCTTCATGAGTTACCAATATAAGATCCAGGGATGGAAATTCGAAATGGATTGAAGCCTTTGATGACAGATTTTGATGTTATCAACATGTGCAAATTTGTGCTAAACCACACTATGATTGATATGTATATTGAGAAGATAACACTTGAAGAATGTGCCTCTTAAGAGATGGAGTTTATCAAGTCATTTGAACTAGTTCCTCAGAGTAGTGTGGTTATTGAAGAAATTGATGGTGATAAAGATGACCAATGCAAGTAAGAAGGCCAGTGCAAGTGAACAATGGGCAGTATCTTGAGTTTAATGAGAAAACTGACATGAATAAGCCATAATTATAATTAGGATTGATATTTAGGGATGTTGTACAGTTCAGAAAGGCAATAGTTATGCACTCTATGATAAATGGGTATGGGGATGTCCATTTTCCATGAAATGAGAAGTTCAAGGTTGATGCAGCTTGCAAAGAAGGTTATCCGTGGTTTGTCAAGTGTGGGAAGATGTGCAATTCAAACAACATGCAGATCAAGAAGAATTTGGATCATCACACATGTGGTAGATTATGGATGAATAGGAATATGAAACAGTCTTGGCTTACTGAGCAGTACTTGGAAATGATCCAACTTAATCCAACATGGCATGTTGATTCTTTTATGGACACTATTAAAGTTGAATGGAAACACGGTTGCTCAAAAATGAAAGCTTATATGGCGATGATTGCTGTTATGAAGATTATTAAGGGTAAACATACTGAGCAATACACAAGATTGTGGGATTTTGCTGAGGAAATCAATAAAACAAACCCGAGGAGCACTGTGAAGATTAAGTTGGATGAAGGAAAGTTTCAAATGACGTATGTGTGTTTGGGTGCATGTAATGAAGGTTTCAAGAATGGCTGCAGACCCTTGATTGGTTTAGATGGTTGTCATTTGAAGTCTCAACATGAGGGTCAATTGTTGATTGTTGTGGGGATATATCCCAATGATGAAACTTGGGTGATAGCTTATGTAGTTGTTGAGATGGAGAACAAAGATTCCTGGATTTGGTTCTTGGAGATTCTGGTCGATGATATTGGTATTATAAAATAGCATGGTTGGACATTCATTAGTGACAAGCAGAAGGGTTTAATTCCTGTATTCTCGATGGTTCTTGTCATGCCCCAGCCCCGAAATATTGCTTTATTTCAGGAAATAATAATATTAGTGATAGGCCCGAACTACACTCTTGTTTAGTTAACTTACCATTAATCCCAATTAAACACTTTAATTTCATGAACCCTCACAATAAATTTATAACCAACATTTGATTATCAAAGCATAAGGATAAAACTCAAGTTATTGCTCAAACTTCCTTCTCTTAGCACAATCGTTCAACAAAAGATTTACCTCGATTAATTAGCTACCACCTAACGTGTTTCTTTATTTATAGGCCTTGGTTCCATCCATGGTCCATAATTACAATTTATATATGTATTTCACATATAAAACATGAATGCCACTTTATTCCTAAAAATATGAATTAATGCAACCACAATGCATGTCATAATACACACCAAAAAGACTCACGAATAGTGCATCTCTTAGAGTAGGATCATTTGCTCTGATACCATTTTGTCACTCCCCAGCCTCGAAATATTGCTTTATTTCGGGAAATAATAATATTAGTGATAGGCCCGAACTACACTCTTGTTTAGTTAACTTACCATTAATCCCAATTAAACACTTTAATTTCATGAACCCTCACAATAAATTTATAACAAACATTTGATTATCAAAGCATAAGGATAAAACTCAAGTTATTGCTCAAACTTCCTTCTCTTAGCACAATCGTTCAACAAAAGATTTACCTCGATTAATTAGCTACCACCTAATGTGTTTCTTTATTTATAGTCCTTGGTTCCATCCATGGTCCATAATTACAATTTATATATGTATTTCACATATAAAACATGAATGCCACTTTATTCCTAAAAATATGAATTAATGCAACCACAATGCATGTCATAATACACACCAACAAGACTCATGAATAGTGCATCTCGTAGAGTATGATCATTTGCTCTGCCCCAAAGTATTGCTCTATTTCGGGAAATAATAATATTAGTGATAGGCCCGAACTACACTCTTGTTTAGTTAACTTACCATTAATCCCACTTAAACACTTTAATTTCATGAACCCTTACAATAAATTTATAACCAACATTTGATTATCAAAGCATAAGGATAAAACTCAAGTTATTGCTCAAACTTCCTTCTCTTAGCACAATCGTTCAACAAAAGATTTACCTCGATTAATTAGCTACCACCTAACGTGTTTCTTTATTTATAGGCCTTGGTTCCATCCATGGTCCATAATTACAATTTCTATATGAAATGCACTATTTCTTTTCACACTTTGTCACCACCTTCCTTTATAAATCAAATCTCATTCTAATTATTTATTCTCGAATTATTTAATCTAACTTATTTTTATGGCTACATCTAACGTCTCGTTAGTGTCACATCCCGGCCCGAGGCGGATCACTTTCCGGGCCCGCTCCACCACCGTAGCACGATATTGTCCGCTTTGGGCTTATCATTCCCTCACGGTTTTGTTTTTGGGAACTCACGAGCAACTTCCCAGTGGGTCACCCATCCTGGGATTGCTCTAGCCCCCTTCTCGCTTAACTTCGGAGTTCCTATGGAACCCGAAGCTAGTGAGCTCCCAAAAGGCCTCGTGCTAGGTAGGGATGAGAATATACATTTAAGGATCACTCCCCTGGGCGATGTGGGATGTCACAATCCACCCCCCTTAGGGGCCCGACGTCCTCGTCGGCACACACGCTGCCAGGGTTAGGCTCTGATACCAATTGTCACATCCCGACCTGAGGCGGATCACTTCCAGGGCCCGCTCCACCACCGTAGCACGATATTGTCCACTTTGGGTTTACCATTCCCTCACGGTTTTGTTTTTGGGAACTCACGAGTAACTTCCCAGTGGGTCACCCATCCTGGGATTGGTCTAGCCCCCTTCTCGCTTAACTTCGGAGTTCCTACGGAACCCGAAGCCAGTGAGCTCCCAAAATGCCTCGTGCTAGGTAGGGATGAGAATATACATTTAAGGATCACTCCCCTGGGCGATGTGGGATGTCACAGTTAGACTGTCTACGTACCGTAAATAGGGATCAAGCCATTCGTAGTTCACATTCTAAATTCTATTTCATAATCTTCACATTTTAAAGTGACTAACACTTCATAAATTAAGTCCAAACAATTGATTCACATCAAATATACTATAAATATGGACTCAGAACATTGTAATTAGCTTAAAAAGAGCAATATCGTCTTCTTAGCCACGTGCCGCCGCAGGTGGCGGTTGGCTGCTCGGACTCATCGGAAAATTCAACTATTTTTAAAAAATTTCAAAAATTTCAGAAATGAAGATCTCAAAGAGTAGAGCAAACTTTATACCTGTGGCCAGGTTTAATTTGGCCTGGAAAGGCTCTAATGCCGGAAACCCTATAAATGGGTAGTCTCAAATCGTCACCTCCGGTGCTCCGCCGCCCCTACCATGGTTTGGGCTTTGTTCTAGACCTCCAGGGTAGTCTCATGGTGGTGGTTAGGTATCGTTTGGTATGCAGACGGGACGGGACGGAACGGAATGGGACGGGACAGGACGGGACAGGACTGAATGGAACGGAGCGGGAGCAAAGATGCCCTCAGATGGAAACAAGGAGGAAGAAGAAAGAGACAGAGATGTTATAATTTTGTGTTCCACGGATGTGGAACGAGTCGTTCCAGGGGGATGAGGTGGAACGAAAATTCACCCAAAACTCGTCCCGTGGAACAGCTCGTTCCACCCGTTTTAGGCGCACCAAACGTGGGACGGAACGCCTTGTCCCATTCTGTTTCGTCCCGTCCCACATACCAAACGGTACCTTATTGAACCAAATCATTTCAAATTTGGTGGATTTCGAGCAAGAAGGGTCGGCACCCACAGGTGTGTTCTTTCCAAATTCAAGACCAAATTTCATTATTTTTGAGGTGTAATAGGAAGGGAGAAGGTTATGGAGGGGTTTCTAAGTGGTGGTTTGAGGCAATTCACCAGAAAAATGGGTGAAAACCCGTCGGAAAATGCTAATGGAGTCGATCGGGTCGGGTCACCAAGGGCCGAGTCTCGATCCTCCGTTTCTCAGTTCTCTCCTTTCCCCTATTGGTCACCTCCCCTTATTCCTCCCTTCCTTTTCTCCTTTCTATTCTCTTCTTTCAATCCTAACCATCCATTTTATTTTTTTCTTTTCATCCTAGCCACACACGTGGTATGTCACATGGCTCCAGATTTTCTGGGGCCTTCTAAAGAAATATAAAATTACCAATTTATCCTCGACTTTAAACGTTAATAACTTCTTAGTTATAACTCCGTTTCATGAACGGTTTGCGTCTACGTGTTCGTGAGATCGAGCTTTATTCAAAAATATAAATTGTGACCGCAAAAGGTCTACGGATTTTAAATAATTAATTCCCAAATTCCAAATTCCAAACTTCATAATTAGTTTAATTTAAAACTAAACTCAAGTGAATTAATATAAATTCTTGATTCTTTTCACATATTCATAATTTTGAATATTTCAATTCATATATTTAATTTTTTTAGGGTATTACAAAGGGCACCTAGACCGCCTAGGCACCCACATAGCCTACTCAAACCTGCCTCGACACCCACCTAGGTTGCGACTCATTTAGACAAAATATATATAACTTTTATTTTGTATTTTATTTTTTTAATAAATTGTAAGAGACTTGTAGAATACTTAAATGAACACACATTATATGCTTGTTTTTCATGTTTTCATTATGTTCTAATACTTCATAATATATATGTCATTATATTTTGTAGTTTATGATGTAATTATATTCATTTTAGGTATGAAGAGACACTTATTTACACAAAATATAATAAATTTACTTAAATTCACTTAGTCTATATAAACGCTAGGCTCCAACCCGCCTCCCAATTAGCTCTTAACTTATTTTAGAACCTTGGCTTTTGATGGTGGATGGAAGGGGAAGAAAGGATGGATGGCTTGGTTGGGGTGGGCCGCACTTTTTTTATTTAATTTTTTGGCATAAAATTATTATTTTTTTAAATTGGTTTATTTAATAATTTTATATTTTATCTACAGGATCTTTCATGTCAGAATAATATAGACTTTGCACTTGTCATGTTATCACTTAATTGTCAATTTGAATGATCAATTAACGGAAGTTGATATTAAAACGAATTCATATATTGAGATATAACGTTGTAATGTTTAAAAAAAAAGTATCAGATTATAGTTCAATCCACAATGGAAGCAATTTTGTATAATTTATTAAAAAAAATAAGAACCACAACACAAACAAAAACAAGACAACTCAATGGGTGCGCTCCTACTCATATGTCTCTGCCACCCGAAGCTTCGTGGACACCAGGCTTGATGTACAAAGGGTTGATAAACTCTACGAGCACTCTCCACACTCATGACCACTCAACCAATGGTTTCTTGCCACGTCAAACTAAGCCAGCTTATCATTGGTCGGTAATGTCACCCACAACTGCAAGATTACGATAGCAACCTTCCCGAAACAGTAGAGCTTCATCTGATTGATCCTCGTAAACGGAACGTGCGGCCAGCGATTGGTTTGGCTTAAAACTAATCTCAACCGTTCAAATTACAGGGTCCCACTGTACTCGTGGACGGTTAGGATTTTACAGGACATTAGACAGGGTAATTATTCAGAGACTGCGTTTCAGATCAAAAACAAACAAAAACGAAATAATTCGTATTTATGGAGAGGGAGTGGTATTGGTAGAAGAAGGAAGGCGAAGAAGCAAAAGCCTCGATTTGGAGGGAGGCAGAGTGACTGTGTTTTTACAGATCTCTTGCTCTCTCTCTCTCTCTCTCTCATCCTCTTTCTCTCTCTAAGCGCAGAGAAATCAAGATTCGTCAATGGGTTTGTGGGAAGCTTTTCTCAATTGGCTCCGCAGGTTAGCTCCTCTCTCTCTCTCTCTCGTTTCGGTCTTCAATTTGTCGGGGTTGTTGTATGATCCTGTTTTGATACATTTGTTTCTAGAATTTAGATTTTTCTATTGTTTTTTTACATGTACGGAATTTACAGGCACTTGGTTGAAAGATTTTGCTTGTGTTTTGGGTTTGAAAGTAACAAAATTTTGAGTGGGATTTTGATTTGAATTTGTTGGTTTGTAAGGTTTAAATGCATAGGTTGCTTTTTGGGTTTCATAAAAAGACGATGGAAAAGAAAACCCAAAAGAAAGAACCTCAAAATTGTTTTCTTTGCTTTTGAAGATATAGTTTTGTTCCAAACTTTTTTTTTTCTTTTGCTATATTTTTCCTGATGGGTGAATTTAAGTCTGGTACACTATACTCTAGATTGATTGCTTTGTGCCTTCTGGCTAGCAATGTTTCCTGCTTATTTGTTGAGGTACACACACACACACACACACACACATCTATATATATTGTTGCTTATTTTGGTTGTTTTTGCCTTGTGTTGAATTGCCGAACTGAAATAGGCACAGTGCTTTGTGGAATGTCATTTTGGCTGTTGTAGATTTTGTTAATGTTCTTTTGCTTCCTTTGCATTGACACAATTCAATTGTTATAGTTGCTTAAGGATTGATCAAGGGAAATGAGAATGTGGATTCCTGATGTTGTAAAATGATAGAAGTTGGGAAATTTTTAGATTTAGTGATAGAACGTCTTTTGAATAATATCACTGTATACCAAATTGTATATATTTGTAATTTCGATCTTGGTCAAAGTTTAAGTTATGTTCGTGATGTATGCGTCTTTCAAACGGGAAAGTTGTGTACATAATACTCTGCAGTCATGGCTTCTATTGAGGCATTGAATGAATTATGGATAATGAACCTAAGCAACTGTGAAATACCTATGAATTTATAAGTGCAGATGGAACTAACTTTTTCGGAGAGCTATTTTTCCCTTTTATTCTTTTGATTGTGGGGATTGCATTTAGAATCTTTGGGTGGTTATGGCCAAATTTCGGGCATACATATGTGCTATATTTAAATATTTTTATTTGACCTCTACGTCAGTTCACACTGCCTGTGCTTACGTTATCGGCATGTGATTACAGCCTCTTTTTCAAGCAGGAAATGGAACTATCTTTGATAGGACTTCAGAATGCTGGAAAGACTTCTCTTGTAAATGTTGTTGCAGTAAGTAAATCAGTGCGATCATTCGTATTTGGTGTTTCTTTCACTTTTGTCTACTTGCTTCGCTGATGTGTTGAAAACTTGATTTTTTTTTTTTTTTTTTGGTGCTTAGACGGGCGGATACAGTGAGGACATGATTCCTACAGTAAGTCATGTTTTCAAATGTTTGTACCTCTTACGAAGAGCTTCCGTGATCCATTGTCTTTCTAGCGAGTGAAATAATTTCTAGTGACACTGTAGGCATCTGATTCAATTTTCAGGTAGGATTCAATATGAAGAAGGTAACCAAAGGGAATGTTACTATAAAGTTGTGGGATCTTGGAGGTCAACCCAGGTTCCGCAGCATGTGGGAGCGATACTGTCGTGCTGTTTCTGCCATAGTGTATGTAACCCATTTCCCATCTCAAATGACTTTACTTTTAGAGAACTGTATAAGTATAAATTTTAGTTTTAGAACTGCGTCCCCAAACTTAAAACTTTTTCTTTGGCCGAACAAACTAATTTTTTAGTAGTTGTTTTCATGTGTTTAAAAAAATATTTAGCTAATTGTCAAATGTTCTGGTTAATGGCCTGTGTGTGTTGATTGTTCAAGTATCAAAGACTCGAAATAATACATTGATCAATGATTCAGTTGAGTTGATCCTTGTATTAGAAGACTTAAGCAATGTTGTGCAACTTGTTTTTTACTGCAGTTATGTTGTTGATGCTGCCGATCCAGATAACATGAGCGTCTCAAAAAGTGAGCTTCATGATTTGCTGAGCAAAAACTCACTAAGCGGGATCCCACTACTGGTCCTTGGAAATAAGATTGACAAGCCGGGAGCTCTCAGTAAACAGGCATTGACTGATGAAATGTAAATCCAATTGTGCTTTTATTATTGAAACTTATCAAAAAAGAGAAAAAAGACGTGTTGTTTTGGTACTGATCTTGGCATTGTGCTGGTGCAGGGGACTTAAGTCGATTACAGACAGAGAAGTTTGTTGCTTCATGATCTCATGCAAGAACTCAACGAACATCGATTCAGTTATCGATTGGCTTGTAAAGCATTCCAAATCAAAAAGCTGAGAGATGGTTTTGCTTCTCTCTGCTTTTGTTTTTTCTGTGTGATATAATTTTTATTAAAGGATTCTTTGTGTACGGGGTGTTGGCGTTTGGGATTGACTTGTCTGATTAACTTGGTTGCTGATTATTTGTTTTACTGTATTCTACTGTATCATTTCTTCTAATTGGAGACGATCTAGGGTTGTTCTGGTGCTCTTAGTCTCCCTTTCCTCCCCGAGACATCTGCCTACATCCACATGTACGAATTCACGGAGGTTTTGGAGACCAGTCTTTTTCTTCATGCGGAAAAGTTAACTGCAGATTCCCTCAAACGATAGATTTGTTAAATTATATGTTAGATTATGAAGCCGATGGGATTCGAATTCAGGCTGTGATGCAAGGGCAATACTCATCTCCACCACTTTGATGCAATGAAGTTGACAATCGTTGAACAGCAGTAATTCATTGCACTCACTTTGATTTGTCACATAGAAATCCTTGACAAACAAATGTAGCACAGGCAAACAGACATGATGTTTCGTTACCTGATAAATCATGAGAATGGTTTGGTGAGTTTGAGTTGGCAGCATTTCTTTTCGACCCATTTATCTGTTTGTCTGTCTTACCGCAGTTAGTATTACTTACAAGAAAACTGTCATGTTTTGTTCCTTTAACCACCTAGCCGAGATCATGCATCCAGTTAGTAGCGGAGCGCGGTTGAGCGGACAGATCAGTCTGTCGATTGAGTTTGAGAACGAAACACATTTTGTCTTCAAATGGATGTTGTTAATCCCTGAGATTGGATTATAGATAGCTGATCCGATTAATTGGTATCACTCGATTTCAATTTCCTCCAACTATCTTCGTCTTCGGATACCACCTTGGGTGTTCTTCCTTTGGAATTGGAAAAATCACACCGGAAACAAACTATATATTCAATTTCAATGATTCAGAATATAGGTTATGATCCTAAAATTGCATGTGTTAAATATCCTAATGGATATAATGTTGGGTTTCTATTTGTGCTAGCTATCCATACCCGGGTTCAAAACTCTCCCTCTTCTAAATTATTGTAACAGTTTCGAACTTTCCTTCTCCCCCTTATATTATTAAAATTTAATTAAAAAAGCCCTAAAATTCTCTTTACGTAATTCACTTTTTAACTCGTGTAATTATCCTTAGTTAATGAGAATTGAAATTGAACTAATTAGGAAACTAGCAGATATTTAGGATATGTTTGGTGCTCTACTTGAATCTAACTTTTTTTAACTCAAACAATTTTCAAGTTTTTTAGGCCTTAAAAACTTATTTGGTATGACTATTTTTAAAACCTCCGATCATCTCTTACTTTTTTTTTCTCCTTTCTCCTCTTTCTCCTTCTTTTGTGACCCCTACTTTTTTGATCTATTTGTCCAGTTTAAGTTTTAAGATTTAAAAATTTTAAATTTTATTCCAAACGAAAATTTTTTTTTCAAGAAATGTTTTGAGAAATGATGAAATTTTTTTGAATAAAATACCAAACTGGCCCTTAAAAAAGGGTTGGTTCCAAGCAACCAGCAATTCTACTCCATGTTGGATTATGGATCATGCCATTAGCTATATATATATATATATATATATATATAGCTAATGAACCACGACAAACAATCAATTTTAAACTCGAACGCTCATATATGGAACTTTCCAACTCTCTCTTTGTTATTTGCCTACTGTCTACTTCCGTCTTCTCATCAGCTGCCGCACATCCGCCATGCACAAGCTGTACCTTCTCCAACAAGAAAACCTCCGCCACATGCAGTACGCTCCCCGTTCTGAATTCGACGTTGCATTCACACAATCTGTGGTGAGTGACTCGAGATGGGCTGCATGGGCCATAAACCCTACGTCTACCGGCATGGTCGGTTCACAAGCTATTATCGCTTACAAAAGAACCGATGGAACTATGACTGTACATTCTTCACCAATGAAAAGTTACGGGACTCATTTGGAAAAAGGGAATCTCAGCTTCCCTTGTACGATGTCTCTGCGGCTTACGAAAACAACCTAGTCATCATATTTGCCACCGTAGTCCTTCCAAACAACGTCAGTGTTGTGCACCATGTCTGGCAGCAAGGACCCATGTTCGGAAACAACCCCGGAATGCACTCGCTTTCCGGACCCAACTTGCAATCCTTTGGAACCTTGGATTTTATTTCCGCGAAAATTGAAACAAGCAAGAGAACGAGTACTTCGATAACCGCCTTAAAATATGCCCATGGAGTTGTCAATACCATTAGCTGGGGCATACTTATGCCCATCGGCGTAATCGTGGCAAGGTATCTCAAGACGGTCGAAGCAGCCGATCCAGCATGGTTTCATGCTCGTAGAGCATGCCAAATACTGGCGTTTCTTGGTGGTGTAGCTGGGTGGGGAAGTGGAATTTTCTCGGTTCCAAATCTCCGGGGATACAGTACAAAGACCATAGATGCTTCGGCATCAGTCTTTGTACTTAGCGCAATTCAAGTAGCCGTAGCTCTTTGTCCTGGTCAATGCTATGGCTCACGCCCCATTTCAAATCAGCCAAAGGCAGTGAACGGACGGACCTTTTCGAGAAAAATGATGACACAATCAGTCAGGGTGGTCTAAATGATTGTGATGTAATGTAGCATCGGAAGCCACACAGTGATAAACTTGAAGAAATCGTTGCTTTCTCTTTGTCCGTCTTTCAGATCAAGAGGCTTATCAAGTTCCGGCACTTTTGGCAGTGGAGCCACAGACACATCATCCTTGAACAATGCTACTTTTGGGAGGGATCATCTTGTTGGTAAGAGTAGTGATGTTCCTTCAGATGAGTTTTCTGTTGGTTAGACTCGCACCGGAGAGATGTCTGACACAGTTAGGTCATTGGATTACATTTCAGATGAAGATGGAGAAAACTCAGAAGTCGATGAGGAAATTGAAACGCCGATAAATGGAGTTGATTCTCATGACTCAGGCAAAATGAAATACTGGAAGCTTAAAAAACAGCGACAACTGCAAATGCGATATGTTAGGTCTTAGGACGGGGCAATATGTTTCAGATGCACTTATACAACAGCGGCAACTGTAAGCTTGGAAGGAAAGAAGGAAAAGGGACGGGATACTCTTCCCCTTTCAACAAGGACAGAAGTCAGTTTAGACTTTCCTTTGAACCAGATCCCTTCAGAGAGACAAACATCTCACATTTCAATTGACATATCGCATTTTCTAAGTATCGTAATTTTCCCATGCACTTATACAACAGCAACTGCAAATGCGGCATCATTTATCTACCTTGGCATGAAAAAACTCTTCCCTTAGCTAGTGTTTACTCATCGTTTAACTCTCAGAATCAGAAAACCTATAAGCTCCTTACAAAATGATACCTGTAAAAAGACAGAAGAAAGAAAGTTCAGAAACGAAGCTCCCACGTTCCAAATATACAATCCCAACCTATTTACACTACAGACACATGAAGACATCGCTGCCCCAGCGTATCGTCATCCCACGCGCATGGTTCTTGCTCAAGAATGAGTTACCCATGTGTGAGTTTCATGTCAAGGTCTGCAAAATAAAAAATAAAAAAATTGCAAAGAAATACATAAAAGGCCTGGATAGGAGTACTAGATTAGTTTTACCAAAACAAATCTTCATACATGAATCCTTTGCATGATATATATAACCTCAGAGCGAGAAATCATGAATCATTTATTTTAGCCATAAAAAAACTAATATTTGCAAATCACTATACATTAATACTATTATAGTGAAGGAAAACTATTCAGCTTCACGAGCTAGTAGGATAAAACTGCGACCTTTCAGTAACTTGACAAGAATTCAGGCGGTAGTAACATCAGCAGGGCTAGTAAATAGAGAAACTGCGACCCTTCAGTAGGGATGGCATTTATCCAAATACTGGCTAAGCTCTCAAAATTCAAAAGTTAAAAGGATGCAAAGTAGTATCCTACAAGGGAATTTCTCAGTCTACAAACATTTTATGTTAAAGGTCAACTTATGATGCGAAATTGCTTAAGAGAACTTTACCAATTTTTCTACATTTCAATGCTTTCATTGCTGCTTTGGCAAAAACTTGTGCTGCTTCTGCTTCAGCTTCTGCCGCCTCCGCCTCCCTTGCTGCTTCCTCAGCTGCTGCAATGGCAGCCTCTGCCTCTGCTACCGCCTGTGCAGCAGCAGCAGCAGCCTCTTGTGCAGTCATGCTTCTCATCTTGGTTAAATCTGCATCTACTTGGGATTTAGTAAGGATGTTGATGTCACTCTTATCTTTTCTTAATGAATCCTTCTGCTTTCCTTCCAAGAGCAACGCTGAAGAGCTTCTTCTTTTTTCAGAAGTAGCTGAACTTAATGGAATTCTGTATCTATGCTTGACCTGCAACACAGACCATAAACCAAAATTCCTGAGATATAATCACATAATATTTGTTTTTTCATTAAGAATGCATGTTCCATATTACAAACTTCTTCTCCAATGGGAAGTAGCTTATTATCCATACCAATATTTAAGTCCTAATCAAACAAATCCATGGTTATGAGTCATATCAACTAAACCCTACTTCCCAAATCCCGTCCTACCTCAACTACCATTCCTTATCCTTGTTTACTAACTACCAAGACTTGCCTAATTAATCCTATTCCAACTAAGACTTAATCAATCATAATCCTATTAGGGCTACATAAAACATAAAGGGAAAAATGACAAAAAGTTAAATGGCTGATTCCCAAATAAACTAGAACTCAAGCCTAATTGGATAAAGAGCCCAAGTACTCTTGGAGAGCCTTGTAGATGCTACTCATCAAACTCCCCTGGTTGGAGAGGATTCGTGCTCGAGTCTAAATCATCATCACTAAAGACTCATGCATCACATACTACAAAAGCTTCAGTAAGTATATATTGGCATTGAAAACATTTTCAGGCTTACAGGCCAAGGCTTCTTCTTACATCAATCAGATAAATGAGATCTTAGTGCACACATACTACAATAATTGTGCTCTAAAATACCAAAATTGAGAGCTTAATTACCTTAATCAGCTTTCCAGTGGCTGTCATATTCTTTAATTTTGATGACAGTAACTTTTTAAGTTTTGGTGGTGCCCAATATTGCTCCTACAAAATGAAAATTGAGAACGTCAAAATTCCTCTAAAAGATCAAGTATTAGTAGATGAGATTGAGGAAACTTGAGATTGCAGTGAAATGATACATAAACAGAAAATACAAGGAAAGCATGCACTCTCTTTTCTCCTCATTTGCGTCCAAAAACAGCAGAAATACGTACTTTAGTTTGACTTGTCAAGTATTTATTACTTAAACCTGAAGGATTTCTGAAATTTTTGTATGAGGCAGGTTTCCAAAACTATGAATGAAAGACCCACAATATATATACCTCTATGTGCATAGCAATTGCAGCTCTGTCAGATCCCCCTGGCTCCTTTAAATTTGTAATAGCCTCTAATATAAGGTGATCCAACCTTAAAACCAACCAAAGGAGTTTCCATAGAGCTAGTCAATAACCACGTCAACAAAAATATGATAGAATGGCATGCATACAATGTTTTCTTTTGCCATTTTAAAGTAAGGATGAGAAATGAAGTCTTCTCAGGAAATATTTTTGTAAATGTAGGAGGATCTCATAAAACTGCCTCGCAAATTAGTAAACGTAACCATCCTCATATACCAACCATATCAAGAGTCTTCAGTTAAAGTGACCTTTACAGCTATGCTTACATACAGAATTCCTATTCAACTGTTCAGGAAATACAAAGTCAGTGTATAGAGACTAAACATGAACGGAAAAAGGAATGAGTAAAAAGGTAATTATAAATTGCACACAACTGTTCATACCCATCACAGGACCCCTAAAGACAAAATATTATAGATGCAGTGATAAAATTCATTTGTGCAGACTGTCAATAACATTTACATGCCATCTGCTTTGCGATGACAATATTCATGAGTACGAGATTTTATGGAAATAAGATAATGAGATGAGGGAGAAAATAACAGGTACTGTTGATCCTTAGTGCTACCCAGTTATTTGACCGTTAACCCATTAGATTGAGATTTTTCAGATCCAGTTCTTGACAGAGAATGAAAGTACTGTCAATATCCATGTAAGCGGTGAAGATCTAACCTGGCAATTGGTTGTTTTGAATCTTTTGATTCAATAGTCTGCGACTTTCCACCAGAAATGGCAAGAGGCTTAGCGTCAACAACTTCTTCATGACTTTGGATTACAGTGCTCACGGCCAAAGGGTTGTTGTCGTGTTTAGGAGTTGGTAGGTTCCTTTTAAGTGCAAGCTTAGCCTTCTGTCTAGAACCCCATATTGCGGTCACATTTATATTTCTCCACTTGTCCTATCCAAGGAAACAACTACGAAATCAGATATGATGTCCAGAGGTTATACTTCATCTATTTTTTTTCCATAGTAGTTTGACAGTACCCATGAAGCTAAAGTTTGAAAAATGGATACCTTGAGGTCAACATTTGAACGCAGATGTAAGATAGTATTGAATTCTGGATCTGTAAGTATTGTGCGCCATTTTCCTGCCCCGTGTTTAAGTACTCCAGCTTTAAGGGCTGCTTCTTCTTCGGCGGTCCACTTCTGCTTAGGAGCACCCATTAACTGAAATCCAGAACCCTCCCAGAACGAAATCTGCCAAATCAAATTCTGCACTTCTCAGAACTTCATAGATTATCGAATTCTGAGTAATAAAAAGCGTCAACCACCATATAGGAACTTACAAGACCAACAAACTACCATAGTTTACTATAATTCTGAATAGCAAAAATACCTAATGTGAAACTTAAAGCCTCTTTCTAGATTACCTTGAATTTAACTCATCCACTAAATTATATACTCCATTACTTAAAAAGCATCACTGATTCTTTTTTTTTTTGTTTTGTTTTTTTTTTTTTTTTTTTATACAAACGATATTGGGAGAGGGGATATTGAACTCGGGACCTCGAATTCAAGTTAAAAGTGTAGTAACAAACACAAAAAAATAAAATAAAATAAAAAAAAAAAACAGATGCATTGCCTTGATTTAGAAACGGGGTTTAACTCAGATAGTGCCAAGAAATTCTGGCCTCTAATTACAATTAACTGTCTAAAAAGTCTTCCAGTTGGGTATAATTTAAATTTCAATTAAAAGCTTAAAAAAAATTTTAAAAAAATTAAAAGCTTAATAATTTATCATTTTTTCTCTTATTTCTGTCAAAATCCCACTCAATTTCTGAACTTTTACAAGAGCTCGAATTCCAACTCGCTCACCCAACTAAGAAAATTTACATCAATTGAATCAAATGGCAATGCATGTCGGCAATTCCTGCACACACAAAAAAACCCAAGAATCTAATTCGTATAATTATCTCAATAAAATAAGAACGAGGTTTTTAAAAATTGAAATTCCGGCAATTCACCGGCAAAAAAATGAACAGAAAAAAGCGAGAGGTGGGAAGCAAAGGATTACCGGATCGGAGAAATCACTGAGAAGCTGACGAAAATGTGGGCAGCTGAGAGATCGATTGGATAATCCGAAATTTGAAGAATTTGAGAGTTTTACGAAATTTATATGAAATGTTTCGGATTAATTTTTATGGACTATTGGTGTTCGAGTGTTTGTTGAATTTGTTGAGATTGAAATTCTTTCATTGGATTTGTTTTTGTGCCGCTCGGCCTTTCCTTTTGGGAGATGGACAGAGTCGCAGACGGGCCTGAGGGAGATGGGACCCCCCAAATGGTTAATGCCAAATGCCTATTGGGATCTTCGGTTTCTGAAAATTGTGTTACAACCCCCTCCTTTGAACACTTTTACACTTCCACCCCTATAGTTTTTCCGTGTTTTTTCTTTTCTTTTATTCTCTCCTTTTATTTTTCGAATAACTTTTTTGTTTTTTGGATTACCTTTACAAAGTCTTGGAAGTTAACGAAGAGGACTTGCTTTTGAAAATTTTTTATTTGAACAAAACTTTTGTATTCCTACAAAAATAACAGTCTATTGGTGTTTTTTTATTTTTTTTTGGTGCTTAAATATGAGAAAAAATATGTAGAAATGAGAAATAAAGAAGAATGGAAGAAAGACGGCGGGTTAAATGTATAAACAACTATTGCAGCGAAAGAATCCACAAATTAATGCGATAGTAATAGTGAAATTGTATGAATTAACCTAAGTTAGAATCCATTACCAATTTGGAATTCACCAAGAAACAAAAAAACCTTAAAATTTATAATTTGATAATATGAAAAGTTACAAACTTAGCACCCACATATACTGCCTCTTGGCTCTCGTTTTTCTAGGACTACAAATAAAAAAGAAATTAAAGAAATAACAATAGAAAATATCTAAAACCCTAAGATGCCATTTTGGGCTAGTAAATAATGGAGTTTGGCCAAAAATACTCATATATTAGGAAAAAAAAAAAAAGATAAGTCTGTTGTGGTCTATTTCATCTGACAAGTTTAGGGTGGCTGGTGGCAAGGAGAAGAGAGAAAGAGATGTGTTTGTAGAATTGTAGAGGAATGTGTGTGTTGTTATCCCTACTATATTGTGCCTTTATTTATAGTAATAGAATGAGAGAAGATATTCCTTCTTCCCCAAGGAATACAAGATACAATAGGAAATGATAACTAGAATCAAATCTAATCTAGGATTTACACAATCATACTTAAACTATGAATGTTTACAACACTCCCTCTTGAGTGTGTATATACTCAAGGTAGATTTAGCATATGTAGAAGTTGAGGAAGTCAACTCATCAGCACCGATTCTAAGGAACAATGCTTATTCTCAATAAGGTAGGAACTTGCATAAGTAGTATGTCTCACTAAAAAACCCTAAGGCTATGGCAAAAACCCGAGTAGGGACAAAATCCATAGTCTAAGAAAAAGTGCGTGAGAGATGCAAAGTCAAAAGAAATGTCTAGATGACATCATCAAGGATATGATTAGCCCAATGTGGGTGCCTCGTTAAAACCTAGTTAGGTTGAAAAAACTCAGCGGGAAAAATGCTCATAATTGTAGGGAAAAAGAGTACATTAAGATCAAGCAAGTATCTACAGGATACTCCCCCTGAGTTTAACATAATTCCAAAGAGAAATAGCAAAGTTACAACTCAAGAAAGTTTACGCATACCAATTCCATGAACAAGCTTTTGAAACGTCGTATTCGGCAGTGATTTGGTGAAGAGGTCGGCCAGATTGTCTTGTGAACAGATTTGCGTGACTTCAATCTTCTGATACTCTTGTTGTTGACGTGAAAAGAAAAACTTTGGCGTAATGTATTTGCTGTTGTCTTCTTTGATGTAACCCTTCTTGAGTTGTTCGATGCAAGCTATGTTGTCTTCAAAGATCATCGTCGGGACATCAACGTGGATAAAGATCGCAGGAGCTTCAAATATGGCCCACTACTGCTCTCAACCAAAAGCATTCCCGAATTGTTTCATGTAAGGCGAGAATTTCAGTATGGTTAGACGAAGTGGCAACTAAGGTCTGTTTAGTTGACCTCCAAGAGATTGTGGTGCCTCCAACGGTAAAGACATACCCGTTTGAGAGTGCGCCTTGTGCAGATCAGATAAGTATCCTGCGTCAACATAACCAACAAGGCGAGAATCGACTTGAGTAGCATATGGTGTGGCACCATTCGAGGATTCGTAAGGATAGAACAAGCCCAAATCCGTAGTACCTTTAAGGTAACGAAAGATGTCTTTCACGCTAGTACAGTGTCTGCGTGTTGGTGCATTACTGTATCTTGCCAAAAGATTAACAATAAAGGAGATGTCGGGTCTAGTACATTGAGCTAAGTACAATAAAGCGCCTATGGCACTTAAATAAGGAACTTCAGGCTCCAAATCTCTTCATCATCCTCATTCGGATGGAAGGGATCTCGTTTTGAATCTAGCGAACGAACGACTATAGGAGTACTCAAAGGCTTCGCTTTATCCTCATTAAAGCGGCGCAACACCTTTTGGGTGTAGTTCAATTGATGTACTAGGATTCCATCCGAACAATGCTCTATCTTGAAACCGAGATAGTATCAAGTCTTACTTAGATCTTTCGTCTCAAATTCCGACTTCAGGTGTGCGGCAGTTCTCGTGAGCTCTTTAGGAGTTCCGATAAAATTCATGTCATCGACATATACTGCAACAATCGTAAATCCGGAATGTGACTTCTTAATGAACACACAAAAGCATAGTTCGTTGTTCACATATCCTTGACTAGTCAAATACTCACTCAGACGATTATACCACATTATTCCGGATTGTTTCTATTTTTTCGGATTGTTTCAAACTGTAGAGTGAACACCTCAACTGAATTAAGAGCGTGTTCCGAGGTTTGGAAATATTTGAACAAGTCAAAGTAAGTCATTCGGGAACTTTCATGTAAATTTCCGTATCAAGAACCCCATAGAGATACGCGGTTACTACATCCATAAGCTGCATATCCAGTTTTTCAGAAACTATCAAACTGACAAGGTAGTGAAAAGTAATCACATCCATAACGGGTGAATAAGTTTCGTCATAGTCAATCCTGGGGTGTTGTGAGAAGCTTTGTGCAACAAGATGAGCTTTGTAACGCACAATTTCGTTCTTCTCATTACGCTTCCGAACGAAAACCCACTTGTAGCCAACGGGCTTCACATGTGAAGGAGTAGGAACTACAGGTCCAAACATCTTATGTTTCACAAGCGAATTGAGTTTGACTTGGATTGTTTATTTCCAGTTTGACCAATCAGTTCTATGTCAACATTCATCAACGGAACGCGGTTCAATATCATCACTCAACATGATCTCAGCAGCTACTACAAATGTTAATGCATCGTTGACAATGATCTCATTTCCATGCCACACATCTTCTAAACTAGCATAATAGACCGAAATCTCACGATTATCAGGAGAAGGATTCGTCTTTTCAAGGACGCTTCCATAATCTAGAATTTCCTCATGAGTAAGCGATAGTCGAATTCACGGTAGGCTTTTCGGGACCTTGTGCCATGGTTTTCCTCTTTCGGGGGTGTGAATCCTTTGAACCAAAGGGTCTGCCATGCTTTTGTGTAGGGGCAAATGATTGGCTAGTCGCTAATGTACGTGGATCACCAAGATTGGAGTCTCGGGGCTTCCAGGAGGGCAATTCGTCGTACATTTAGTATATCCATCTTTGCAGGCATATTTGCAGCTTAAATATGTGATCTTGTCATTTGCGCTAGATCGGTGAAAGCATTTAGCATGCTCTGAGCTATGTTCTGAAGATCTAATATGCACTGCACTTCAATTTCAGACAGAGCGGTGCGGGGATCTAAATGAGACAAAGTGGGAGTCGTCCACAATAATTCGCATCGCTCTTCAGGAACGATGACGTTCTTATTTCCCCCTAACGACGGGAAAACTGTCTCATAGAAGTGACAATTCGCAAAACGATCGGTAAACAGATCGCCTGTCAAAGGTTCTAAGTAATGAATAATCGAAAGAGAATCATATCCGACATAAATTCTCATCCTTCGCTGAGGCCCCATTTTTTTACATAAAGATGATGAGATTGGCTCATATACCGCACAACCAAATACATGCAAATGTGATATGTCGGGTTTGTATCTGGTAACCAACTCAAGGGCATTAAATGGTTGTGTCGCAACAGGCCTCGGGTGACTTTAATGCGTGCAATATTGCATGGCCCCAAGCAGTGATCGGGAGCTTGGTACGTATGACCAACGATCGAGCAATCATTTGTAAGTGCTTAATGAAAGCCTCTGCTAGGCTGTTCTGGGTGTGAACATGAGGTACATGATGTTCAACTTCAACCTCAACCGACATGCAATAATTATCAAAAGTTTTAGATGTGAATTCTCCAGCATTATCCAATCGAATAGATTTAATCGGAAAATCAGGGTGGTGAGCCCTGAGCTTAATAACCTGAGCCAACAGTTTGGAGAATGTAGTGTTACTTGTGGACAACAAGCACACGTGTGACCAACGTGTAGAAGCGTCAACCAAAACCATAAAGTATCTAAATGGTTCGTAAGGAGGGTGAATTAGTCCACAAATGTCCGCCTGAATTCGTTGTAGAAAAATGGGACGATTCGAATGAATCTTGTCATAAGAAGGCTTAGTAATAAGCTTTCCTATCGAACATGTTTGACATGCGATTCCTTGGATCGAACCTAAACTTCAGGTTAGTGGATGCCCGTGTGAAGATTTGAGGATACGGCGCATCGTTATTCGTCAAGGATGTCCCAAATGATCATGTCAAAGTGTAATTTCGTGCACGATCCTAATAGTAAGGCCAACCACATAGTGGCATTCTATGGGGCGTATGGTCGTAGTATATAGATCACTCGGGGTACGCTCCATCTTCTCTAGAATACGCTTCTGGCCATATTCGTAAGAAGTTATGCACAGAAATTCAACTTCGTTTTCTACGTGGGTTTTAGCATAGTAATTGTTATCTCTAATGTCCTTGAAGCTTAACAACGTTCTTCCAGAACGTAAAGAATAGAGTGCCTTAGAAATGGTAAATATTGTACCATTGGACAACATTATACATGCCTTACCATATCTTTCTATCATGTTGGATGGCCCTGAGAGGGTTATCAGAGGTTTATTCTTAGGTATGAACTTAGTGAAATAGATGCGTTCACGCAAAACGGTGTGCCTGGTTGTACTATCTGCTAGACAACTAACTTTCCCACTAATCATACCTAGAATGAAAAATTAATTTGAATTGCTCACATGCAT